CTGGGGCCCTCAGGGCCATCCAAAGCGGGGTCCCAGCGCAGGTGAGGGCATTCCCCACCTGTGCAGGGCCCGCCTGGCTCTGCTCTCGTCTCCAGCCCCGTTCCAGCTCCCTCCTGGTGCCAGAGGCTGTTTTTGGCCCCTGTTCTGTGCAGAGCTGTGCGGAGTGCTGGTCCCTGTGTGAAATGTTGGTTTCTGTGTGAAAACAGAGGCGCTCTGGGTTTCCCCTCTCTGCGAGAGGCTCGCTCTGCCAAGGCTGATCCTGGGAGCTGTGAGACGGATTTGTGGTCTGTGGTTTCTGACCTGTGGGGCTCAGGGGCAAGCACTGACATCTGTTTGCAGAGAATTGTATTTTCATAATTCCTACGAAGAACACGCTCTGCATTTGGCTCATAATTTCAGTTTATTATCAAAATGTTTTGATCAGATGACAGAAAGCTAAAAGGACATAGGTTTTTAAATAGACCTATTGTAGCAGTCATCTGAGGCATCTGGTACTTGGTTTGGAAATGTCTTTGCTTTGATAAACAAAGCAGTAAGTTCCTTTGCAATCTGCATGAGGATGTTTAATACATATCATTGCAGATTTAAAGCCTTTTACCCTCTTACTTAAAGCTCCTTCAGACTCTCGCAATCAGCCGTGCAGCTTTCCTGATGTGAGGACTGACATTGATCAGAACACGTACAAGTTATGTGCAGGATCAGAGCCTAAGCACTGACAGTCAGCCTGAAAACTCCAATGTTTGTGTCCTCCATTGGAGAACTCATTTTGTAGGCTTTATCTTATTGCCCATACCATGCTTTAGTCCAATTTCCCAGTTCTATGCAGCCACTGATAAAATGTGTTACAATACTTCAAGTCAAAAGTGTAGCTCGAGATTTAAATACAAAAACTATGATTTATACATTACTAGAAACTTTAAAAAAGAGCGACTTTAGAGAAAGCAAGATAAAGCTTAGAAAATGCTGAAAGGGTCTTTGATCTTACAGATTATTGGTACAGAAATTAATAAATTACCAATTTCAGTTGGGCTGGAAAGCTGTAAATTAACTGTTGTAAATAAGGACTTCAGGTAATACACGCTGGAGTAATTAGTGAGAAGTTACTTAAGTACAGCAGGTCTTTGGACTCCTCTTGTATAAATGGTTTCAAGTAAAACTGAAAACATTTGGTAGAACAGATTTGCCGTAACGGCAGAGGGTACAAAGTCTGACACTGTGAAATAAGCTGTCGTCTCTGTGTCATGTTATGATGGCTAAAATGTGTGTTACTGAGTCCTTCCCTCCTCCCCTGACCAGAAATCTGCATTTCCCAAGCGGGGGGATGATGTGTTACACATAATTTAAATGGAACCCCAGAGGCGCCGGCCGTGGCTGCAGTGCAGGTGAGGTGTGGCTGTGTCCTGCCAGGTGGCACTGCCAGGTGAGCTCGCTCCTGGGGCTCTGGGGAGAGGCAGCCCAGCGCTGCCTGCGGTGCTGGACGGGGGATCTGGGGTTGCATGTTACCAGGGATTGCAGCCGAGCCTCCAGCATGTCCCGCTCAGCTTTCCTCCCTCCTCCCTTCTCCCAACCAATGCAAAGGTCTCTTTTCCTGGAAAGCTCCTCGAGGTGTGAGGTTTGCAGGCCATCACCAAACGCGGCACTTCTTGGCAGGATCCATGCTGTCTCTCGTGGTGCACGAAAAGGCTTCTGAAAACTCCGGGGAGTTCTGCAGTGAGCCCAGGACCCTTTAAAACAAAGCAACAGGCTGTCATTGCTGCCCGCCGTGGCTGGAAACAAGCATGGCCCGTGTTTTGTAACTCGTTTTCTTGGGTCACCTCGCCGTATGCGGGGAACGCCCTGCTGCTGAGCTCGGACTGTTGCTTCATTCCACCTCAAGGGCTGGCTGTGTTTTCTTCTTCGGTTTGTCTTGCCCCTGTTGCAACCCCAAAAAAACAGGACCTGTCCCCTCCTCATGGCTGGCTCTCCCAAGCCAGTTCTTTCACCTAGAACAGATTTCTTGCCTGTCAGTGGTTTTCACTGAGGGTTTTTTCAGCTACGTTTTGCTGACAAGTTTCTTGGTGAAGGGAAAACAAGACCCTGAGGTCAAGGGCTGTGGTGGTAACTTGTCAGTGAATGTTCATTTACATTTTTACACCAACCAAGTTTTAACTGAGATCATGCTGCTCCTCTGGGCGTTCTGCACAGATTTTCCAGTGAATGACTTTCTGGCAAAAAGTCTCGTACAAACAATGGCTTTCAACTCAACATGGGAGGTGAGTATGAGGCCATTCCAGCTTAAGCTGATTTTATATGTGTAATTGTGAACATGTGTGAATAGATCTGCTAAGACTCACTTGTTCCTTCAGGACTGGAAATACAGCAGCACATACCTATGCAGGGAAACAGGTCAAACACAGATACTGATGGACATTGATTGTGGCCCAGAAGTTCTTTAAAGAACTGTTTCTTTGGGTAATTAATGATTATTCAGAGAATTATGTTCATCATTAGAACCAGGGTGTGCCCACAGAAGTTGAGGTGAAGTTCAGCACTGACACCTGCAATACTTCAATTGTTCTAGAAGGCCAAAAGTGACTCCCTGGTCTTGGGAGACAACAGTGGAACAGGAGATGGCACAGAAAAAGGGTAATCAAAAACCTCATGCATTTTGGTGATCTAGCTGTGTTTCACTGCTCCAATGAACAAGGATTGTTAAAATGGGATGTCTGCAATTAAAAATTTCTATGAGGAGCTGCCTGTCCTACTTGTAAGGAGAAGCAGCCCACAGTCAGTGTAGCAGGTGTTGCACTCCCCACATAATAATAAAAACAGGCACCTTGGGAGCCTTTGTGACACTTGTGTAGTATGTTATTAGGTGTTAATTCTGGGAGTATGCCTCATGAAATGTTTTCTATTTTAGAGCTCTTAGGGAGCCTCATCCTGTAAGTGACTGCCCATTCTAAGAATGTTGTCTGGTTTCTCATGAACACTTGTACCTTTGCATATAAAGTTTATAGCCTGTCCTACGGAGGTACAGACAGCACAGCACGGTGTAACATATCCAGGGTACACACAAACACAGCTTGCTGCGCTGAGATGCTGAACTAGTCAGCTTCAAAGGCCTTGTACCTCATCCAAATCAGATGTGCTGAGGCTCTGGAGAGCCTCTGGAGCCTCATTAGCACTGAGAGCAGACAGGAATGACTGTGGGAGCTGGTGCACAACCCACCCGCACCGAAACCAGGGAGAGCAGTGAGGGAACAGTCCCTGCTTTCACTACATAGCTGAGTGTGTAGGATAAACAAGATTTGGTGAAAAGCCGTTGGAAGAAAGATACTGGGATTAATGTAGAGGATTGTATCAGCACAGAGCTTGCCTGCTGTGGACATGGAGCCTGGAGATGGCTCAGCCTTCCAGCAGATGCTGTGATGGCTGCACTACACTGATACCGTGGCATTGGACCAAACAGGTTTAGTAGAGCACATTGTTACTCTGGTGATGAATAGGCTGCTCTGACTTCAGATAAAAAGAAAAGATCCTAGTCTGGCTCAAAGGCATGCACCCTGAGCAGCCACACTTCCTGCATGGCTCTACTGAATTGAGCCCAGCTGATCTTGGGAAGGCTGGCTGAGCACACCAGACACAAAATGCACATCTGCTATCGTACCACAGCACACGGGCTCGCTAAGAGTGAGGGGCAGTGATCTCCCATTGATTCTGCCCGTGGCTTCAGTGGAGGGTGAACGTTTATCTGTGCTGTTGGTGTACAAGAGCCCTCTCAGGAGCTACTGTGGGAGCCAGGGACTTGTGGATGAGCCCTGGATTCCAGACACAGCCACTGGGACTCTGCAGCAACAGTCACACAGTGACAGCCAGGTGATGCTCTGTGTGTCCTGTGGTGGAGACTGTTCAAATCTGCTCCACAGTGTGGAGTTGGATCTTCTCAAGGATGAGACAACAATCTCACATCCTTCCTTTGCCTGTGGAGCTGCCTGGGATGGGCTTTGCCTGTTTGGGCAG